CACACACATCTGGACACCAGGTATCTGTTACTGATGATCATGTCTGGCTGATGGAACGTGGAAGTCATGTTACCCCGTTACAGTCCTATGTATTAGTAGAGTGAGTCGCTTGACCAAAACATCTGTGTTATTTTATTAAAAATACTAATAAAAGCCACGCAAGCCGCAGGCCCCGGTAAAGGGGAGCCTACGGCTGTGTCTGGAGGCTGGCTGCAGCCGGGTTGAGACGGCGGCCTCTTCCCTCTCCCTCTTGTGGCTGACTGCAGCCCAGCCCCCGCACCAGGTTGTGGGGGTGCCTGGAGGATCAGCCTCTCACTGCTTGGAGGCTCGCTGGAGCCCGCGTCTTCCTCTGCCTGGACTTTTCGTCAGCTTGCTCACCTTCAGGAGCCTGGGGCCCCGAGACAGCCCTTGTTTTCTGCGTTGAGTCCCACCCCACAGAGCAGGGAGCTAAGTCGTGTGCAGCTGGCCGCATCCTCATTTTCCTAATCCAGCTTGTGATCAGCAGTCGGGGCACAAGGCTCCTGTTCTCCTTCGGGGTCTTGGCTCAGAATCTAATGACATGGTCACTATTTCGCTCCCTTCTCGCTGGTGAAGACCTTGTCCCTACTCCTCTGTGGCAATTCCAAGTCCTATAGTTAAAATCCAAGGAGCTCTGGAGACACCGTGGTTAAAGCATTCGGCTGCTAACCAAAAGGGTGGCAGTTCAAACCCACCAGCTGCTCCACAGGAAAAAGATGTGGCAGGCAGTCTGCTTCCATAAAGATTTACAGCCTTGGAAGCCCTCTAGTGCAATTATTGTTTGTCCCGTAGGGTTTCTGTGCCTCGATGGCAGTGGGGGTATAGGTAAAATCCGATCTGCCCCCGCCCCGTCGGTGGCAGGGCTTGCCACAGGTGTGTTCCCGTTTGACCCTCTGCTGAGACTTTGCATTTCTAACAAGTTCCCCGGTGATATTTACACTCGTGGTTAGGGGCCAAGTCTGAGGAATGAGAATGGCTAGTTAAGCAGTGGTCTTCCTATTATATAGAAGAAACAGTTGGGGATCTTGTTAAAATGTAGATTCTTTCTCAGTATCTCTGGAGTGGAAAGGCAAATTCTCAGTTGGGGGTTGAACCCGACAGAACCGGTTCGAGGCCTTGTCAGTGGTTGCCTTTCCCGGCTGTGGGTAGGAAGAAATTGTGTCTCCTCGTTCAAACCATGAGCTCCCGAGGCCACCCCCAGGCAAGGGGGCTGCTGGTGGAAAGCACAGCCCTGAGAGGACCACGTGACCGTGCACGAGGCTGGCTGCAGGCCCTGTTCTTGACTGCGAGATGCTTGCTTCCTCTGTGGGGTCTGCCTCTGTGGGGCCTGCATTTTGCCTTTATTTTTTGCTGATGAAGGGAGAGACATACCCAGCTTCAGAGAA